CTTGATAAGTGAGTAGCTGGCCAACTTTCCCCTTGCTCTGGTATATTGGTACGGGATTTCGTAAAGTGAACTTTTTTCCTCTGACGCTTTCCATCATCCCAGGAAATGGAAAATCCAAAACAGATTCATTGGAGTCAAAGGACGATAAGTCGAGGAGTTTTCCAAACAAACCAAATCCAGATGTACTAATCTTATTCCATTTAGGGTGATAAGAGGACTGGCGGTTGAATTTCACCATAATGATCTGAGTAGACATGACGCCTCCATTCAATTTCATATAGCCTTACCTTCCAAAAGGTTATTCTCATCCAGGCATGAATTAAATGCAGTTTCGATCTTGTCTAGGGCTTATCAACACCCTCAGCGGCCACTTAACATAACAAGGCTTTTTCCTGGATCATTAAGTCTTGATGATCAGAGCCTGACATTACTGATTTAGGACCGGTATTACGTATAGATGTTACTACACACTCACAAACAACTACACTCGAGCAGAAGCAACAGGATTAGTATGAGAACTAATTGGACAAACTATCCTATATCTATATATGCCAATTCATTTTCGTTTTTACTTATGAGCATGTATAAGAGGTAAGGTAGAGCCAGATATTCTTCTTGACCTAGGGTTAACGTGATACTTTTACAGAAATGAGTTCCAGCTCTGATGATCTCCATCATATAATGGACGCAAGCTTAGCCAGTTTTCATCTGATTCAACCTGAAAGTCGTATATGAAGCCAAACGGCAATAAAACGGGATTCAACCGCCGTCTTCTAATGGAATCAACCTATGAATCTCTTCTGCATGCACTTTCATACGATATGAAGGTCTCCCTAATCATGTTATCTCAGGAGATCCATCGAAACACAGATTCCGTTCGCCTATATTATTAATTTGCTATTCTTAATTTTTAACTGTTTTGTATTTTTTCAAAAACCTTTAATTCTTAGAGTGGCAAGCACTTTTTGGCATTATCAGTTCGTGACCTCATTTTGTGCTTTAAGGTGAGTCGTTATTGGATTATTCGTATTTCGTTTTCAAATGTTCATATGCTGTGTATTAAAGTTTTTTAAATTCATTTGTCCCTAGGAGCTTGAGTTAATTTGTGGCGATATGCCCCTGAATGGTATAGTCAAGACCATATGTGAGGAGTTTCCTCTGTCCGGTGGAGTAGACACAATGAATTTTTCTTTTGAGGTGAGAAAAACCATTAGGCATTCATTTCTTTATCAAATCTATGCATACGCACACAGTAGACACTATTGCGTGTATTATTTTGTGTCGCTTGTATCCAACTCCATTTTGTGCTATTCATCCTTACTTTTTTGGACGATGGATTTACTTTAATGGCTCTCTCTAGTCAGTTACATGCCTAAACTGGGCTCAGCTGAGTGGGCTGGTAAAATGCCTTCTTATTAGGTAGATTTACTTGATGGTCACATTCTATCCGTGATAATCATGAAGAAATTCCCTGTGTAATTCACTTTCAGAGTCTACAGCAGTTTTTGTTTATATTTTTTGCCCCAAGAGAAGCAAAATGGCTTCTTTGAAGATATGAAGACCAAGATGTTGTGGTCTCTAGTATAGTCGCAGTCTCCTTTCAATTTATAGAAGTGGGTTGACCTTGTTGTCGCAACTTGCTCTTGTTGTCAGGGGGACTTAGTAGAACGCACCTAGTCTGAAGTTGTCTGCCATAGCAGTTGTCATGATTCCCAGAATCAGACAATGGACTTGGTACATACTCAAACGTTTCGCCGGCATCATCAGTGAGTGAGCTACGAGCTCGTCAAAGAGAGTGACTCCACTTGTCTCTTTGACGACGAAAAGCGGACTTCGGACTAGGTGAGTTCTACATAGTCGCCCTGACAACAAGACCAAGTTGCGACAACGAGGTCAACCCACTTCTCAAAATGGCTGCTGTTAATTTGCCTGCTACTCTTGAGTTAATGTTCATAAAATGACTCGAAATACGGTATGCTATCTCTAGTGGGTATATGCTCATTAAAGCAAGCAATTACTTTGCTTTAAGAAATCTTCTGCTTTGAATATCGCGCAAGTTTCATACCTGCGAATATCTAAAACATTGTATTCACTTCATTTTCATTATCATAAAGTTGACACATCGATCTTGATCTCTCAACTAACTTGTATGCGAAGTCAATTGACTTGCGCCAAGTCAATTAGGCGCCCATATAACTTAAAATTGAAAATATTTGGAGAGCGGCACGTTCTCGTTGATTACTAAAGAAGTGATTTTCACCATTCTTCCAGTTGGTCCATCTTGATGCCTTAGAGTTATTTACTCTTTTGGCCACTCGTGTGTATCGTTCCCGGTCACCGGCTGCCACGCAATCAACGGAAGAAATCGTGGAGGCGGTGCGTCCGAGCGAATCGGGTTCTGGAGCGAGGACTCCATCAAGTTCGACAACGTCAGCTGACCAGCGTGCAGATGAGACTAGCCTTATTTCTGGTGCTGGACGAGAGGAAAGGAAGAGGCGACTAACTGCTACTAGTATCAAAGAGAAGCCTAGTGAGCGAAGTAAAATATATCAAGAATAATAATTTGAGTGTACCTAGATCATTAGAGGCGATGTAAGGGCTGATTGGCGATATCGAAACTCTTATCCAGTCCGGGTGAGAAGGCTTTTTGGAAGCCAAGTCTAAATGAAGTTTCTTGGCATCACGAGGCCAAATTATATTACAAGTCCTTGCATCACCTTGAACAATCTAGGTTTATTCGAGTTTCTATTCAAATATATTGAAGTTTCGAAATCCACTTATATTTCATACAGTTTTTTAATTGATTTTTTATTTCGGCATTCCATTTTGTGGGTGCTGATGAGAACTAGGCGAGGTCGAAACTGCATTTCACTCCTGTCTGGATGCAAATTCCTTTTGCGAAGCAATGCTATGCGAAATTAAACCTACTAGCAGTATTTTTGGGAAGAATTAACTACCATTCCTTCATCATCTTAATCGTAATATGGTGAATATATCTCATATAGTCTTTGTATTTTTTATTCACATATGCTACCTTATTATAAGGCAGTAATTTGAGAATAGGTTCGGTGTAATCTGATAAAAGGGAACAATACCCTTATCACTAGTTGTCTTTTATTCTGTTTCTCAATTAGGCAAGATTGGCGACTCGGTGGACAAAAAGATGTTAGGCGCGACCTTGCATGCTGTGCATAGACGACAACGTACCACACTCTCAACGCAATCACCAATTCATGCCCCTGACTCAACCGCCGGATTGATTCAACGCCGTCCCAGCCGAGTCCCTGGAACAACTAGTCAGAAAGAGTGGCCTTCGGCCGAACAGCACCAGCCTGCCCCACGTCCAATCTCGGCCAAACGGGGAAAGGTAGGGCAAATATTTGAGGCACAGGATAAAGTTTTCTTATTTATGATGATATGCTGATGCCTGTTTTAAATTATAAC